TTGTTTCAAGTCGGGTTCGGGATTTGGTTCCTTTTGCAACCAGTTGCCCAGGAGGTTGGCTTGTTGGTGGGAAACGATTGCCTTCGACTTCTTGAGATGTTGGAAGGGCTCTGTTTCTCGTATGCCCCATACAAAGAACTATCCACGAGAGAACATCACTATCCCTGAAGAGCCTGTTTAACGTGCTAACTGCTGCTTTCACGAAGGCAATGCCACAGTCGCTGCAGCGTGCCTTCCCTTTAAAGAAGTACAGGCTCCAAGTAGAGCACAATAGTTGACCACGTGTCATGACGATCGTGGCCAGCACTGGGGTTTGTGGGAATACTTGAGTGGTGCTTATGGCAAGTAGCCATCTCCAGCAACGCCAGCAACAACATGGGCCCTACACCGTGAACTGGCCAATGCAGCTGCCTTTTTGAAAGACATCCCATTTTATCCTTAAGGTGCGAATATGGCACGGAGAAATGCGTGGCCTACGTTCATGGGGATCGAACAAAGCACACAACGACTGATGCACCACATACCCACTGGTGCCGATCGGCGCTGATTTTGTCCATCCACAGTATAGCGGAGTTGTGTTCTCTGTTTGCACCTGCTTGGATATCCACCACTTGGCCAAGAAGGTACGCTGCTTTCCATGAGCCATGGGGATTCAAGAAGCATGCTGTGATGTGCGCGGGTTGATCTCAACCACCGTTCTTTTCGAAGACTAGACGCTTCCCCCTGGGTGCTAGGTGTTTTGTGCAAAGAAGGGTGCTGCAAAGAATGGAGAAGTTACCCGTAGAACTCTGTATGTGTGGCGGAACCCAGTTCTTTTTGTAGGTTTCCGACGGAAAGCAACCAATTTGGGGCGCCCTCATTATCAGACAACCCATGTCTCCGTTCCGATCCATATAGTTCTCTTCTCGAGGCATCATCCCCAAGTCAGCTTCCACCATCGCCAAAGTGCTCTCGGGCTACGGCTACGACACGGCGGCCTTTGGCAAGTGGAAGCTCAGCGTGGGTGTTCCCGACGTTCCTTCCTTTTATTGCGGAATATGTGGTTTGTTCTATGCTTGTAATCCGTCACTACTGCTAAATATATTGTTGTTTTTTCAGGGGGTTGGCGTTGGCCAATGGACGGGTCACACTTCAAGGCAAGCAGTGGCTCAGCTTGCCTGAGACGGGCCGGGGGGAGCCTTTCGGAACCCTTCCGCTGCGTTGGGGCCATCCACTTCCTCGGTGTTGCTTTGTCAGAAACCTCTAGCCCTGCGATCAGGTCAAATGGGGACAACAGTCTTTGACTGGTGCTTGATTTGAGCCGCTCCTGAACACGATCAAGGTCAGAAATCGGGGTTGTTTCCCGAGCTGACTTTGATAGGCTTGATAGGGGTAAATAATTGCGACACGGTTGGCACAATCCCCAGATCGGACACGTTGCAGCCATGCTTCATTTCCCCAATGCTCCCCTGCAAGTCAGAAGAGAATCCAACAAAGGGGTCCCAAACAAGAGATTCCTCAAAGAATGATGTTTCGTGTATGGTTCCTGTTTAATGTTGGGGAGTGAGTAGTAAAGGGCCCCCCCCCAAACAAAATGGGGGGGAGTCAATAGAGGAAACTTCCTTTTCTGGGGAGACTCAGTAGTTCTTTGGAAAGGAAACTTCCTTTTCTGGGGAGACTCCGTAGTTCTTTGGAAAGGGAAGCCCTTTTCCTTGCAGGCATCCCTGGCCCCCGTCCTATTTTTTTTCTCAATTAACCCCCCTTAAACAAATCTCATTATTGGTTTCCAGGGTGTTCCCTGTACTACCCCCTTGAAAATTTGGCAGGGTGCAACTTTTAGTAAGGGCAGTCATAAAGAATTTGGCTGTTGGGGACCTCAGTTAAACTTCCTTTTCAGGGACTTCAATCATCATCTCCTTGTTTCTTGTATCTGACAGGCAAGACACCAAAGGTGGACAGGTAGGGTGGTGGTGGTAGGTTGGGGGGGGGCGGGCGGGGCAGAGAGAGACAGGAGTTGCACTGAACTAGGGATTAATTATCAAACCTTTTTTTGGGGAACATGTTTCCGGATTTTTTGCCCCTCACAAAAACTTTTGTGTATTAACTCCCCCTTTTGCTTTTCAGGGGTGTGAATAATTTTGTTTTTTTTTTTTGGTGTATTGACCCCCAATTTATTATTCGTAACCTAACATTAAACTGCAGGGGGCTTTCTGGACAATTTCTTCATTTTTCCATGACCAAAAAAGCAAACTCCTTGCCCTGCGAGACCCGAGGCACAACACGCCGGTCAACGACCTTTTCAAGACCGGGCCCTTTGATCAATATCCAACCGGAGCCCTGACAGCATGGCAATGGGATGCAGGGCATCCAACATGCCGGTTTGTGACAGATTCGGGGGCACCATGCAAGAGGATCCCATCCATTCTGTTTCTTTGACATCCATGTTCGATGGGCTTGCGTGCGCAGTTTGTGCCCACACCAGCTCGAAGACCTCGGTTTAGAGTTTCTTTACATTTTAATTCCTTTTGAGCAGAAACAAAGGAAAGCCCAAACCAACTGTGAAGAATATGGGCGTGGCTCAAAATTAAAGAGCTAGGGTTACGCAGGTGTTGGTCCATGTTTTTTGAGCCACAGCTATGTGGGTCTGGGAATTTTTGAGGGTACCCTTTCCAGGCGGTTTTTACAGGGAGACCAGAAGGAAAGGAAGCCACTCTGCAAAATACCCCTAAACGAAGACACCGATATGGTTTCTTCAAGGGCGCTTGCGAAGAACCACCGTAAGCAAACGTTTGGTAGCATCTTGCATGTTTGCCCTTGGGAAAGATTTGAATTCTACTGGCAGGTTGAGGGTTGCACATTGACCAAGCCATGGGTGCCCTTTGCAGGCGTGCAACGATCCCAAGGATGTTGTGCGTCCGCTCGGGGCATGCCACAAGTGGCAATTACCATCAAATGGAGGTCCTCCGTTTTGGTGGATGCTGAATACTTGATATATCCAGGTGCGTCTTTTTTTTAGGGCATTTTTGGGGGATTGGTTTCAAACAGATGCTAAACGGAACCACCATTTGTGGAGTCCGATTCCTATTTTAAGATTGTTTGGCCCTTAGGAATACAACAGGTAAATAATATCCATTGGTCCATGGACTCGTTGAGGGATGAAAGACGTTGCCAATAGAATTCGCCCTGGATTGCGGTTTGGGACGGCAGATCTCGGCAAGCACACGGATGGACGAAGCCTGTTCGCGCTCTGAAACCATGGGAAGCCATCCTTGGCATGTCCGGGGAATCATTCGCATCCCTTGGAAAGCTTTCGTCTTCCAAACCCCATCAGCTTTCCATGATTGGAAGGAGGGTATTGAACACCAGCGATGGGTTCTAGACTCACCTGGCTAACGTCGACCATTGACGTGTTTGGGGTGTCCAATGTTTTTTTTTTTTTTAAGTGAATGTCTCAAAAGGTGATCACTCCACCCCACCCCGACCCCACCCCCACCCACGCCACCCCCACGCCACCCCCACCCCACCCCACCCCCACCCACCTCCACTCCACCACCCCACGGGTAGACTTGCAGTGCAGGCCTTGGCTTCTCGTACTTCTACGGCTTCCTGGCCGGGGAGACCTCCCAATACGAGCCCCGACTCTTCGAGAACACAAACCCCATCGAGCCACCCAAGACCAAGGAGGCGGGACTATGGTCCGGCGCATTGGACGGGTGCTTTGCGTTCCTGAAGATGTCCAGGGACTCTAGAAAAGTTAGTCCGATTTCAAGAGGGAACCCCTCTAAATAAGTTGGTCGTGGTCATAAATCCACACCTCAACGATGTTTATATCAAGTCTCCCCAATTGAAATTCAAGGGCATGCAACCTTATAGCGCACTTTCATGAAAGCAAGTTGAACATGTCGACCACAATTTCGAGGATCATGCTGGAGAATTCCGCTTGAATTGACCCAGTCCGTTGAAGGGACCGCTGCCGCATCGCCGGTTTAGAGTGGGAGTGGGTTTACATCCGTGGCCTCGGCCGCTTCGCAGCACAGGCTTCGGATTTTGGGGCGGGTGAGGCAGAAGTCTCTCGCCCTGAGTAGGTGTTTTTTTCAGCTTAGTTTCGTTAGAAACATATTCTTTTCAGCTTAGTTTGGATAGAAATCGATAGGTTCCACTGGCATAGGCGGGTTTCATTCTGTGTACCAGGCCAAAAGGACACCTATGGAACCTTAGACTTTTGGGGTTTTGGAGCATGTTAGTGGCAAAGAAGTTTGGACCCTGTTTTGCCGGAGTTGGAGAGAGCAAGACGTTGTCAGCGGCCCCAAACTGCTTGAACATAGTTAGTTTTGAGGTCTCGACAAGTGGAGGCAGGCGAGCTCAACTGATTCTGAGCCTTTTTTGAGATTGAGGGGAATTTGCTTGGTGCCGGTGTTGATGATTGACTGGCAATCGTGGGTGTGGCTTGCGACTCTTCTCTGGGTTCTGGGAATCGCCTATGCTTGTGGCAAGGCCTTCGCAACGTGTTCACTTGAAGGCTTGAAGGAGGAGGTTTGTAATTAATTCTTACAGAAAATGGAACTTCCCCACCCCTACGCGCACAAGTCGCAAGCGGCGCCAGAAGCCGTACCACCTTACGGAGGACATGGCAGACAAGGCCGGGGTTTTCAGCACGACTCATTTGGCGGTGAGTTTACACCGGCCGATTGCTTCTTTTCTGCCTCGGTGTAAAGGGAAGCGAAAAAGAAGCCCACATAGACATTGGGGGTCCCGTTTTCGATGGGTATTTCTGGTGCAAAAGGCAAGCAAAAAGACATCAGATTCTTTAGGTAGGGGCCCGCTTTTTAATTTGACACATACTCGAATAGCCCCAGGTTGCCAATGTTCCTCCAAAAAGGCACACAGCTTTACCTGTTGCTCAAAGTCAACCCGCAAGCCGCTTCCCGTTCTGTAAAGGCGGGCGGAGGTATCAGCAGGAGGGATGGGCCGACTTTGGAGAGCCCGCGACCAAACCCGCGCCTTTCTCTGTTTCCTCACACGTGCGGATCTGCAATTCGACGCTTCAGTCCAGGGGTGCTTGTACATACCCCTTTGACATACCCCTTAGACAAATGAACCCAAAAGGCCTGCTGATGTTCACACCCCTCTCCCCAAAAGGGGTATATACAAAGGGTTATATACATATGTATATATATATATACCCCTTATAAAGCGGGTTGGAAACCACGGAAGCCAAGGGGTATGAACAACGGGTATGTACTTCCATCCTTAGATTCAGGCGGTGAAGTTCATCAAGGATAATCGCGCTTTGACCCCGGACCGGCCCTTCTTCATCTACTTCGCCCCGGGCGGTACCCATGGCCCTCACCACGTCTTCAAGGAGTGGGCGGACAAGTACAAGGGCAAGTTCGACATGGGCCGCCCGCCGGGAACGACCAAGAAAACAAGGATCTTTGCTGTCGTCCCCGCCGCGCCAAATGACAACCACAAAAACAAACCCGCAGGTATCAATCTCTGGCCCCAATGGCTGGCCGCAATGGCTGGCAAATAACCCCAATTGGGAGGTCATTCCACAGCCCAAGCCATTTGGGGGTCCTGGGGTATGTCCTTCTTCCTCAGGCCTTTGCGGTAAGCTTTAGGAACCGAAAATGGAGTGAAGATGATTGGGTGGTGTGCGCACGGAAGTTGCGTTTAAGAATAAGGTTTCCCGTGAAACCGACAATGGTCCGCAATTTTGGAACTCCAGCCGCCGGTGGCTGATGGGCATTCGGAGAAGTTTTGGCGAGTGGTTGGGGCACTTGCTGTAGATGCGGGTTACGGGGATGACAACACCAGAATGGTTTGGAGCGCCAGCTGCCCACTGTAACTAGGTCCCCCATTTTTTTGGGGTAGGGTTCCCCTACTAAGATAGACTACAGAAAAAAAAGCTTGGTACCCGTATTCTAACCTCTCTGCGGGAGGACCTAGGTGGGAAGTGTCCCATGGCGTGTCTTTTTAAGGATATCGTACCCTTTTTGGGGGGCGTGGTTTTTTTGTTAATATATGATTATTATTTGTTTCATGCGTGTTTGGGTCGACCAGTTTTTGTTTTTGTTTTCTTTGGCCGGGCTTTGAAAAAGTGACTCTGCCCACAGGAGCCTAGCCTCTTGAAACCGGCGCAAGGTGTCACGCAGTTGGCTTGTAAGGCTGGGAGGAGCTCCGCAACATCACGTACCAGAAGCAGAAGGCCGGCGATTCGATCAGAGCCTCGCGCGCGTTGTTTTTTTGCTTTTTGGCTTTTCCCTTTCCAAGCCAAAACAGGTACCTTTTGCCAAAAGAAGCAAAGATAAATAGAACATTGTCTTTACAGAAAGGCTTGGAAGCATTAGAATGAAGATTAGCCATGACTCACCAGATCTCAGGATTTGAAGTCTTATTTGAATCATTCCTTGGTTCTTCTGTCTTTTTATTCATCATCTTGCATCTCTTTGTATATCTCTCTTGCCTTTGGAATTCCCAAAGCACAGACGCCCACAAGGAACCCCACGAAGCCACTTCAAGAGGAATGTCAGAACTTCCTCTGAGGCAATTCACTTCGAATGGGTACTGACTCGAAAGACAAGGTAAACTCACCTCACTTTCTGAGTTCATGAACTTGGGAAGACCATATCAGTGGTGAATATAAAGTTTGGACTTTTTTTGGGCCATCCACTCAGCAAGTGAGTCACTCCTTGAGTTCATGAACTTCATATTTTTTAGGGAAGACAATTTTAGTGCGGCAAACCATAAGTTTGGACTTGTTTTTTGCCAGTCCCCTCGATCGGAAGTGGGCAAAAAACGAAATCCAGCTTGGACCCCCTTTTTTGCGAGTTGGAATGGCCCCTATAAAGCATCCAATTACAGGGTATTTCTGGTCAGAAAACCATGCCTTGTGGCTTCCTTAGGGAATCCCTAAGTTCAGGCCCACTGTCCTACATGTCCGTGGATCAAACATCCGTACCCAAAATGGAACATTGGTGAATGCAACAAAAAGCTGAATCCTGCGGTCCAAAATTCTTGGTGGTTTTGTTTTGACCCTACATATCTTTGGTGCATTTTGCCAAGGGATGTTAGGACTTTAGCTTTTTGCAAACATTTTGCCAACTCATGAATTGGTTTTCCGTATTAAACCACCAGTTGTCCACTGTTCGCAGAGCAGGAAGCGAAGCCCCGCAGGCCATGGGCTGGATCCCTGACACGGCGAAGCTGACGGCGATGGACGCCACCATGGCGGCGCGGCGAAAAAGGGGCCGGGGCCTGCGGCGAATCCGCGCTCAAAAACTTGACTGCTATTGCAGGGGTCCCTATATTTCCCTGTTTGGCTCTTTTAAACATCACCTTGTTGGCCCATGAAAGGTGAGTATCCCTTGGTGGGGGTGACTCGACTATGAATTGTCATGGGGAACGTCCTCCCAAATGGTTGCTGGACATAAATCCCCACCTAAATGATACCAGAGGGCCCCTCCAAAAAAAAAACATGCCCAGGTTTATAAATCTTGACTGCTATTGGGCAACGGATCTTTAGGCTTTAACTTTTTGGTTGAAATCAAGTTGGGTTTTCCACTAAACCCCCAACAAGTTTTCAACTTTTTGCAGGGAAAGGTCAACCCAACAAGGGCTTAGGTTCCACGGTTGTCCCGAACGAAGCGGATTGGGAACCAGTTGGAAGCCCCACAGGTCATCAGGTTGATTCAGGGGGTGGCTCGGGGGCCAAGGGTTTCGGTTTTTCCTCAAGGGGAGGGATGCTCGGTGGGGCCAAGCAGGGGGGGTCTTTTTGCCACCTTCTGTGGACCATTGATCGACCCCCTCGTGAAGGATTCCTTTTTGAGGGGGTCGGCAAATTTTCTCAGAGGTCGCAAACAGCCCCTTCTAGGGTCAAGGAACTGAGGAACCAACGGACGCCAAGCTGCCAGGCCAGTTCTGGGGCCATGTCAGGTTTTTTCGAAGAGAAATGGCGGTGAATTTGGTTGAGCACCGGGTTTTCAGGTTGCTTTTGTCGGGTTGAAGCGCAGGATTCGAAACTGGGATGAGCGCAACCCTCAGGGAATGACCCAGGGGTTTTGGGGGAATGAACCAGGTCATTCCCTCATTTTCTGGGAACCAGCAAGCAACAAACTGCTGGGGGCTTTGGCGACGTAAGCATGTCTGAGCATGTCTGAGCATGTCTAAAAAATTAGGACTTGGACCCCAGAAGTAGCTGTTCTTTTTGTTGCCCTTCAAGCCTACCCCAGGACTAGCTTTTGCCAACTGGAAGCCATGAACCCAACAACACCTCCCCCCCCTTTAGGTGAATCGGGGTTTGAGGAATGCCTCAAAGAATGCACTACCCAAGCGAATCAACCGGATCTGACCTTTTAGTCTTCCCTTTCAAGTTCCCATGTTTAGACATCTTCACGAGACGGTTGACCTGGGCGCGGCTTTTGTAGGGACCTCCCCCCCAAAAACAACAACAACAAGATAAACAAAAAGTCACAATGAATTTCGGTGTTCCTTTTGGCTTCCTATTTTTTCAATCCATCCCACCAACAGGGTAGCAACTCAAGATAGACACACCCACCTGGGTAGCCTCATAGGAGTCCTTTTTAGGTTGGTTTGGTTGAAACTACATGGCACTGACTTCAGTGCGGTTCTCACGCAACTTGCTTGTTTTTTAAAACCATGTCCAAAATCCGAAGTATCCAAAAAGCAGCTGTTGAGGGCTGCTGGCAGAAAATACAGGTCCTGGGTTCTCTATCCCCCCTGGACGCCTATGCTTCACCTGACCTATTTCTGGGCCCCTTAGGAACTGGGGCTTTCAAGTACCTACACCCCTTGTACCTACCCTTCTGAGGGCGTCCAACTAATTGTTGGCCCCACTGGACGGAGACTTGTAACCATGGCTTTTTTGGGGTACCATGGCTACCCACTGGCCGGAAACAATCATGTTCCTCTTGGTTTGAGGGGTGGTTTTGGTTTGAGGGTCGTTCTAATAGTTCCCCTACACCGGCAAATGAATCCACTGGCCAGTTGATTTTCCCCAGTTGATTTTCAAGGGGATCTATCACTCCTGGATATTTTGCCCAGGGAACTTAAAAGCAAATGGAATACGGGGCGCCCCCTTTTTTTCGGGAAGGAGCCCCAAGAAGCCCTAGTACTCTCAACTACCCCCCCCTTGTGCCTACCCTGTTGGGGGATTTTGAAGATATATTTTTCTTCACTGTTCTTGGCATGTTTTTTTTTGTTTTCTTCTCTTCATTTTTAGTAGGGGGCTGCAACAAACAGTCGGTTTTTTTGCAACCATACCAAGAGTTGTGATTTTTTTCTCGGCTTTCCCAAACCAAGTTCTAATGGTTCCCTCCGGCAAAGGAATCCACTGGCTAGGGGCGCCCCTTTTGGCCCCTTTTTGCGGGCGCCAAGGAGAAGTGGGAGCACATCCCCGCGCAGCACCGCGCCTTCCAGCTGCGGCTTATGGAGGTCTACGCGGGATACCTCGCGCCTGAGCCAGCGAGCGAGCGAGTGCCAGCGGCGTTTGGTTCGGTTTGCCCATTTGGTTTATAAGGGTATTATAAGTTATAAGTGTTTGGTTTATTGGTTTATTTTGGTTTATAAGAGTTTACCCATTTTGTTTATTTGTTTGGTTTATTTTGCAAGTTCCACGGATTCAGTTGGCTTATTTTGGGGTCTTCCTGTAGATGTGGGTCAAGGGGATGAATGCAGCTGTGTTTGGTTCGGTTTGCTCGTGTTTTCTAGACTAGGTCTGCTGGTTTAATATGGGTCTTCCTGTAGATGTGGGTTATAAGTTATAAGGGGATGACTCCACCAGAATGGTTTGTTGTTCCTTTGGTGGATTGTGCTTGGATGTTAGGACTTTTCCAAGAGGGCTCAACAGCAACCAAGTCTTTTGGAACCCAACAAGGAAATAAGGCATCTCAACTTTGTCGCATTTTGCTTGGATGTTAGGACTTTAACCTTTTGCCAACTAATGAATTGGTTTTCTGTATTAAACCACTAAAAGCTAAACTTTCAGCAGGGGAGCAGAAAGCAACCGAGGTTCGGTTTTCCCCTTTTTCTAGACTAGGTCCACTGGTTTATAATACCGTCAATGGTCCGTAATTTGGGGACCCCAGCCGCCAGTGGCTGATGGGCATTCGGAGAAGTTGTGGCGAGTGGTTGGGGCACTTCCTGTAGATGTGGGTTATAAGGGGATGATTTGACCAGAATGGTTTGGAGTGCCAGCTGCCCACCGAGTCACTGTAATACTAGGTCCCCCAGCTGAGGGTTCCCCTACTAAAATAGACGCCAGACAAAAAGAAACTCCCTTGCTCGTGGTTTCCTTTTAGGCTTTGGGCCTGAGTTGACCCGAGAAAAACCATCCAACTGGTGGTTTCCTTTTAAGGGTTTGGACCAATGAGACATGGGTTCATTCCATGTCTTATTCATTCCCTACAAACTTGCACCGATCGCAAGTTTTTGAAAATACCCTTCAGACGATTCCATGGAAGCTCTCAGGACCCCGAAATGGAAGATTGGGTTCCATTTACAGGATCAGCCTTGTGGGAGCAACTAGCCCTCGTGACAAATGAAGGCGGAGAGCACTTTGCTGTTTTGAACTTCTGCATGAGTAGCTTTCTTGATTCATGTCGCAAATCAGTCTTTCATTGTATGCCTTTCCTGAACTCCATGCCAACCATTGTTCCCTGGTGTCACCTGGATTGGATCCGATTGACCTTCTCAACTGCTTTCATGAAGTAAACACTGCCTTTGAAGAGTCGCGGTTTGCCTCTTCGGGCAGGGATTTGGCAGGGGCTGGGAGGGGATATATCCACAAAGGATCCTTTCAAATCCGCTGGTTTTTCCCTTACTTGGCTCAGAGGGGGTGCTTCCATGTGCGTTTCAGAATATGTTTATTTCCCCCTGCCGGTTTTCAAGAAAGCCTGTTACTACTTGGCATATGTTACTGCGATTTTGTCCCAGGAACCTTGGCTTAAGCCATTGGAGGCGGAGTATATTTTCTGTGGCCAGGGGCGCCGCTCCCTTTCTCAGGAACACACCGACACGCAGCACGGAAAGATCTTGGACGAGCTGGAGCGCCAAGGCACAAGCCGGGCCATGACGAGAAAAGCGGCCCACCTCTCAATCCAGACCTCCAGCGGTGCATAGGTTAAGTTTGTTCGGTCGTTTTTTTTTTTTTTGTTCTTTTCTTTTTTCTGGAAGTGCCACGGGCTCTTCAACAACACCGAGGGGACTTAGCAATGTCACGTTGAGAGAATGATCCCACTTAGTTATCGCTAAGCCCGGCATTCAAGGGATTCTGGTACAAAAGCCTAGGAGTTCTGACGAACATAGCTATGATGGGCTTCTGGCTCATCCAAATCAACTTAAGCAGCTGTTTTTTGGCCCGCAACCATGGATGCACCTGTAGAGCTATTCAACAACACCTAGTGAGTCGCGCAGCGAGTTGCCAGGAACAGCTGGTGCAACAAAGAGCTGGTTGGCCCGACACGGGTAAATCCAAATTGGTTGAGTCATAGTTGGTTTACCTCTTTTTGGATTTTGTTGATTTTTCGCAGGGGGCTGCAAACAACTGTCAGTCTTTTTTTTTCAAGCCCATGCCCGTTTGGGTTGTAAAGCAGCTGTTTGTCTGGCGTTGAATGGAACCACCAGGGCTCTGCAACAATATCCAATGCTTTGTCATCTCCTTTGGTTGTCAAAGGGGGCCCCCCAATAGGGCCCCCCCAATCTCAATAGGGGCTAATAGCGACTAATAGGGTCTACTAGCGGCTGACAGGGCTCCTTTTCTCGGGGTAGGGGGCCCCTAACCAGCATGGGATTCTTGTTGGTTTACCTGTTCTGGCGTTGTATGCAATCTGGGTGCATTATAACGACCTCACACGACCGAACTCACCCCAAATGGTGGTTTATGTGGGGAATGGCCCCCCAACCTTATTTCAGGCTGGTGAAATGAAAATTCACCCAGATGCAAAATTATCCACCACCCTCTTACCCCTAACAACTCATGGGAATTTCGTTGGTTTTTACCTGATCTGGTGTTGAAAATGCAATTTTCCCACCGGGGCTCTTCAACAACATCCAGTGATTTGTTGTGTAAATCGAATTTTCCACAGCTCTTCAACAACATCTAGTGATTTGTCAACACCATCCTGGGTCATTTCCCAAAGGTGTAATTCCAACGTGTAATACCAAAACCCTCAGATTCTGGCGTTGAATGCAATCTTGAGCCACCACGGCTCTTCAACAAAACCACCAGCGATTTGTCATCTCCTATGGTTGTCAAAGAGGGCCCCAGGTTGTCAAGGGAAATATCATAATTCACCCAGATGCAATTTTCCCATCAGGGCTCTTCAACAACACCTTGATCATCTACATCCTGGGGGACAACGGCGCCAGCGCAGAGGGCCTTCACGGCACCATCGACGAGCTCCTGGCGGAGAACGCTTTGGCCAGCACCTCGGCCATCAACATGGTGCACCAAAATGGTTCCCCTTGTGGTTTCCTTTACTCGGGAACTCCTTTTGACTGCCATTGGGTTGGATCTTTAGACTTTAACTTTTTGGGAAATAAGGGTGTTTTCTGCTAAACCATGCAGGGGGGTCAGCAACCAAGTCCTAGGTTCATTCCCTCAAACTCCAGTTTACTAGTAGGGGGGTGTCCCTGGGCGTGGGGATTCATCGCTTTTGGAGAACACCCCATATTGAATACTAGGTCCCCCAGCTAGGTGCCCTGTCACCGTTTCTTTTTTGGTTGGGAGGGTCCCCCTACTAAAATAGACTACAGAAAAAAGTTGGTACCCTTATTCTAACCTCTCTACTGGAGGACGTAGGCACGGGCAACCCTCCCAACAATTCACATGGAACCGTTCGACGTAAAATGAGTCCTGGTTTGGACCATCTTCCGTTTAAAGGGACCCCGAACGTCAGGTTCCATGTGTATTGGTGGGAGGCTTATCTTCCGCAAAGCTTTTCTGTCACACATCACGTTTGCGGAGGTTCATTGTAGCTTTGTTGTATTTTGCTTGGATGTTAGGACTTTAGCTTTTTGCCAACAAATAGGTTTTCCGTATTAAACCGCTAAAAGTTAAACTTATTTTGAGCAGGGGAGCAGAGTGTGCAACCGAGGTAGCATGTCTCATGCATTTGCTTCCCTTTCATCGTTTCAGGATAGGCTTCTTCATGGACCTGGCGCGGAAACTAGTCTTGGTTTCTCTTTCAGGTTGGTGGAAACCCATTGGGTCCCTCGGCAATTTTTATCTGCGTCCCCTTGGACCCAGATAGGGTCCGATCTCCGATCTCCACTACAAGTCAATTCAAAGTTTCAAGCAGATCTGACCACACACCCTGGCTAAATTGCGGCAAAAATACCGCGCTCTCCTGGTAAATGTTGACCCCGGATTAATACACCCCTGTTTATTAATCTGGGGGTGTCGCTCACTTTTGGAGGGGCCCCCACCGCCATGTTTATCAAAAACAAGGGGTTTGTTAATCCGGGGTCAACGTGAAAACCGCGTTAACGCCCGATGATTCGCAGTAAAATGGCCATGGGGCATAACCTATGGCTCCATTTTGGGGTGGATGAACATCCATTTGCCACCTATTTTGATGCTCACAGCCAAATCCATGGCTCTCCACGCATCCCGCGCCGCATCCCGCGCGAAGATCGATTCGCGCCTGGCCACCGAGGCACGGCGGACCAGCAGATCGAAGTCCTGAACCGCGACTTTGGGGGACTCGATGCCCTAGGCGAGGCTGCGTATGATTTTTTTTTGGTGCGTGCTGGGGTCAAAATGTGGACGGTTTCAGAAAATGAGGTTGTTTCCCTGAACCCACAACTTAGGGGGTGACTTTGATCATGGGAAAATCATGAGGCCAGGTGTGTGTGTGTGTGTGCCAAAGCTTCAAGGCGTGGGTGTTTGGGTGTTTGGTGCCTCAGGTTCTGCAATCAGTTTGTGCGAGCGTGTCGGTGCGCCGCGTGTCTTTGTGGTTGTGTTTGTGTCTCTGCTAACTAGGAAGCTGCATCCAGAGTGGGGAGGTAGGAACCACGGGAATCAGGATGCAGGCGGGTGCCAGGTAGGAGCCATGGGTATGGCACGGAAGAATAAAGCCCTGTGGACCTGGACGAAACTAGTTCATGCAACAGGTGGCGTAGCGTGTCTTGCCAGAACGTGGGCTGCTGCTGTGACCAGACGGACTGTTGGATTTAGTTCCGCCGAAGGGACCGTTTGAAAGCTGCTTGCACTTGGCCTGTTGCGCGGGTGCAAGCTAGGCAGCAAGCACGTGGACAACATGTACCATTCCTCGTGGGCCTGGGCGCTGGCGCCTTGGTTTCTTGCAGCTCGCAAAAGGGTTTGCCTCAATGTAAACCCCGGATTACTAAGCCCTAGTTGATTTGGATCGGGGGGTGTCCCCTTTTAGTGGGATTCAGACCACTTTTTGGAGGGTTGCCACCACCCTATGGGACGGGTTCTACTTAGATCCTGGGTCAACATTAGCCATAGCGCCTGGCGCTCCTCAAGGCGATGTTTGCACGTGGCAAAGCAGAAGGCTGAGGGGTTCGATTCAATGGCATCCATGGCCTGTAGCATGTTTGCATCCATGGCAGGTCAAGCGGAAAGGTGGAAACTCAATTCTTCAGTTTACAGGGTTTGGCTTTTTGTTGGTGCCGCCCGAAAGTTTGGGTTTCTGAATGTTTCAAAACAGTGGTGCGAAATGGATTTCATCCCAGCAACGCGATTTGGACCCCCATAATGGTTTCCTTTGGATGACCAACAAAAAAGGCACCGAGAGTCAAAAAAGACGAGCCTCCCAGTTGAAACAGCTGGCCTGCCCTTCAACATGTAGTCCCACCCAACCGGAAGGCAAGAAGGTCAAGCAGGTGAAGGGGTCCCTGCCCACCGGAATGATTGGATCCCCCTATAAACACCGACGAACAATGCTTCCAACCATGGCTTCAAAGCGGTGGGAACTGGATTTCGTGCATCCGCGGTATTTCGGCACATCCCCCGGCCCCTTCCCCCATTGGCCAAGGACACGCCCTTCAAGAGCACCAAGTTGGTAGCCGCACACTTCGGCGGCACTCGGACGCCCATGTCCATATGCTGGCCCAAGGCAGGGAGCGAAACTGGGCGGATTGTTTCACTGGGGTCTTTCCCTCCAAGCTTTGCGCGTTTTCAGTGTGCAAGATGAGATTTCTGTGTACCCCAGGTGTGGGCCATGGATCGAATGTTGAAAATGGGAGAACAACTGGTGGGTAAATGTGGCAATTCTTTGGACATGTTTCCTTGTTCGGTGTGTGTTGTTCAATTATGGCTTCCTGGATGTTCTAATGTTCTAATGCTGCAATTTGCACGACGTACAGGTTCAGAATTATATAGTTACCTCCGTCCAAACAAGCGCCACGTTGCCATCGGCACAGATGAGCGAAGTCAAGCCGCCAGGTGATCAAGCCTGACCCCACACCGCGCAGCCAGTTCCACCATGTGTCGGACATTGCCCCCACGATCTACGAGGCTCCTGTGCTATTTCAATGCTTGTCGGTTGAAGTCGGGTGGACTTGCTCGTCAATGACTGGGCAAAATCCAGAACAGGGGATGGTGTTATTTAATGTTCCTTGCTTTGTGACAGCATATAAAGTTACCGTACTTTGCGCTGTTCCAGTGGATGTATGTGCTCATAGACACAGTGAAGCCAAAACCAAGACCGAACACAACACTGCACTACATATGTTCTTGTTTCAGTGCAAGCATAAGACAACACTGAAACCAAAACCAGGACCCAGAAGGAAAAAACAACAATTTGTTGATGTTGAAACGCATGTGGAAACATGAACTGTGTTGGCAATGCTTGACCATAATGGCGCATGCCATTTTGGCTCAAGCTTTGCCCTGGGTTCTTTGAACCCAATTTGTGTGAAAAAAACCCCGAACTAACTCCGATCTAGCAATGGCTTCCTCGGCAACCTCGGCAACCTCCTTCGAGCTGATTGAGGACCAGAAGCTCACCGCGGAGGAGGTGGAAATGGCCAGCCAGGAGGCCCAGGAAATTCGCACACGCGAGGCGGCAGTGGCGGCCGGCCTGGTGTTGGACGAGCCCGAGGCCCCCCCGTCGGCTTCGGCTACCGACGTGATGAACGACCTCTCCAGTGCACTGGAGCGTCTCCGTGTGGCTTTCTCCACACCGACTTCCGGCTTGGGTGCCCCTGGCCCCGCCGAGGAGGAGGACAAGGACATGGAAGATGCGGACGCCACGGAGCGGGCTACTCCACCAACGAAGAGGCTGAAGGGTTTCGTGGCGGCTTCCCAGAAGACCACGGCTCAGGTGAACAAACCGGTCTCCCTTGTGCCGGTGGAGGGCCGTCCCGGCTACTTCAAGTTAGTGGACCTCCCAGACCTCTTCCCGGTCCTTCCGGCATCGGCGGCCACGTTGCTGAGGGACGTCACGGTGGAGGAGGCGGTCTCCCTGTTCCACAAGTTTGTCGGGAAGAATCTCACGGAGGACTTGGTGATTCGCATCCTGGAGGCCTATGTTCCGTGCATTGGCACCCAGCGGATGCACAGACTCGATGCCGGCCACTCAGAGAACAAATTGGTGGCCGGAGGCAGCCAAGCAATGCTGGGTCTGCCCGGGCAAGGAGTTCGTCCCCTTCCAGGCACCCTCGGCTACCTACGAGGCGGACGGCGTTAAGTACAACCTGCTCATTGTGGAGGGCAAGCCGACCTGGATCCAGCAGCGGGAAGGGGGAAGCCTGGGTGCCGCTGGCCCCGGTGGTACCCGGGCACAGGCAGACCGCAACCTGGTGGACGGCACGGTCCTGGGGAGAGCTCCTCCGAAAACGGACACGGCAGAGGAGATTACCATGGCAGACGTGGTCCCGCTCAACAGGCGGGTGGACATCCGGCAGGAGATCCTGTCCATGGAGGCGGACGATGAGGCGTTGAAGGTCCGGGAGCACCAGGAGGTCAAGGTCAAAGTGCAGCGGTCCCTGAAGGAGGCGGAGGCTCAGAGCTTCCAGCTCTACCACCCCCAGGTGGACCAGGCGATCCGGAAGAAGGAGGAGCTGCATAAGGCCTTGAGGGAGCACCGGGAACCGACCCCGGAGGAGTCCTCGGCCAGGCAGCGGCACAAGGAGTTGGTCACGGACGAGATGCTGGACAATGAGATGGCTATCCTGGCGCCTCTCCAGGAGGGCATGCAGGCCCTGCCGTCAGAGGAGGTGGCCAATGACCCTCAGGAAGGTCAACCTGGAGCGATTCAAGGCCAAGCTGCGAGATCAGTACCTGGAGGGGAAGGGCGTTGACGCCAGCCAGGCACTGGCTGAGGCGATGGGCTCCATCCAGGCATGGATGCTTAACCACACCCTCAAGCCCTTGGAAGTGTCGGCGTGGCCAAATGATCTCAGGCAGGCACTGGAGAGGGGGCTGTTCTGCCCCCTGGAGCTGGATGACCCCGAGGACATCCCCAACGTGGGTGACATCAAGGAGAAGTATGTCCCCTACATCAGGAGGCTCAGAGAGGCGCAGAACCCATGGAACCAGGAGGCGCTTGGAGATGCCCGATCTGGCGACACCGGCCCCCCCCAAGGGTGCCACTGGCCCCGGGCAGGACCAGTCAATGCCACAGCAGGACCTGAACTCGGAGGAGGGCAAGCTGTCCCTGCTCCTCTGGGCGATGAAGAGGCACCAAGGCGAGCTACGGATGTTTGGGGGGATCTGGAAGAAGCACTCAAGCGGTGAGATCCCCAAGGGCGCGGACCAGCAATTCAAGCTCACTCCGGAGGAGCTTCTGGCCCTGGAACGCAGGACCCACCCACTCACGTGCGAGCAGGACCACATCGACCCTGTCATCTACACGGCCTTGGAGATCCGAGCGCGCGAGCGCCCGGCGCCGGAGCAGGTGGTGGGGATCTTCTGGGCGAAGGGCGATGGAGTGTTTTGGACAAGGCAGACGAGAACGTGGGACCTGCCGAGCCTGACGGGGGTGTACGCCCACAGGTTCACCTTCAAGTACATCTACTCGGCCTGGACCACCTTCCCGCTGATCGTGAAGACGCAGCGCCGGGGCCGCAATGCGGAGGGCTCGGCCTCGGACAAGTGGATGGGCAACATCCTCCAGATGAGGAAGGAGGCGGTCCCCTTCCTGGAGAGCCTGGGAATCCCCAAGCCGCGCAGCAAGGCGGAATGGAGCTACATCTTCAAGGAGATGGGGACGTTTCTGGCGGCCAAGAATTTCATCGTTAACTGCCCGTTGCCGGTGATGGAGATCCCAGTGGCCCCCGTCCACGACAGCAAGGAGGCGCTGCGTTTCAGGGCGGTCTGCGACGAGCGAATCACCCTTCCGCTGTCATCGTTGAGGGCTTTCGACTCGGTGTACACCAAGCTGGTGTCGGGCCTGAGTAAGTCCTCCATGGTGGAGGTCAAGGTCAACTGGCGTTGCAACGTGGTCCATGACTGGGTGGAGCAGGTCCCGCAGGAGGCGGCGGGGGCCCTGTACGACCGGTTGGGCTACTCCCAGGACCTTATCAGGCAGCTGGGTTGCTCCCCCCCCTTGGGTGCCTCGGGGGAGGAGCGGCCAAGGAATCGGACCCCAAGGCCAAGATTCTGGGGGGGGCGGACACCACGCTCCGCACGCCGGACCAGGGCACCAGGCGGTACCCTCCTATCACCACGTCCACGGTCACGGCGGTCGCGGGCCGGAAGCACATCAACAAGCACTTCCCGAAGGAGACGAAGCACGTGTTTTGGGCCTCCGTGGAGTGCGGCCTGGTCCTGCCCAGCATCAGCGCCTGGGAAGTGGTGGGCAAGGAGAAGTTCAAGACCACCGGGGGCTACATGTGCAGGTTCTGCAAGGGCTTCTGGAGGGCGAGCCGCGGGGGGACCAGGCTGCTCCAGATCACGGGGTGGCACAAGGACAAGGCCACATGCCTGCAGCTGGTGATGGACGAGCCCCCGGAGCAGCTATATAATCAGTGGATCCGGGACAGGATGGAGTTCTACAAGCGGGTGGAGCCGACGGAGCCTCCCAGGGACGAGCGGCTAGTCCTTGGCGATGCGAGCACCCCGCGCATGCGCTTCAGCTCCTCGAATGGCCTGGGGGATGTCTCCACTGCCTTGTGGTCGGTCATCTTGAGCAACCCGGAGAAGTCAGGGCTGGCGGCCATCCACTCGGTGGCTAAGGAGGCGATCTTGAAGGGTGAGAGCCGCTAGGTCGTGTCTCACAGCCTTTTTGGATGGGGAGTCGTGAGATCTCTTCCCACCGGGACTTGGGTGCCTCTGGCCCCGTCTCGGGTGGGGGGAGGAGTAAGGGTGTCCCCTGTTGGGTTCTTCTTTCACCTGGGTTTCCCCCCCTGTTCAACGCGTCACGACTGCCGGTTTGCCTCGATCTGGAGGCTGCACGCTTTGGCTGCCCCAAGGACGGGCCATGTCGGCCACAGTTTGGAGAAAGTGGCTGCGGCTGACTCTGGGTTCCCTGAGGTCCCCTTGGGGGTTTTGGGGAATCCCCCGCCGGGTTGGTCTTCCCCCCTCCGTGGTCCTTTTTGGGGATTTCCGGGGGTTGACTTTTGGGTCCTGTTGGGCTGCATGTGGCCTGCCTGCCCCATTTGCACTCGGCATCCTGTGGGGTTGGAACATGCGTGCAGTGTGCCGCGGTTGGGTCCCGGCCGTTCAATAGGAGGCTCGAACCCCCCATTTTCATCATGGCTAGGGTCTCTGCAAAGTTTCTTTTGCGCCCGCCTTACACTCGTCTTTGGGACCGCATTCCAAGGGTCCTGTGGGACACGTTGGCGGATGAGTCCTTCTCCCCGAGACAGACGGACGGGGAGCTGCTGGTTCTGATGTGCCTGCGCCATGGCACGGCAGAGGAAGGCAGCTGGGCGGGGAGCCGGCCATCCGCTTCGCTCAGATCCTGGAACTCTCGGGCATTCCGGTGGGCCAAGATGACCAAGTGGTACCAACGGACTACTTCAACGGCGGCGTCGGCGGCGGGCAGGCTTCCCCAGCCTTTGTCCGCGGCGGACCTGGCCGACCTTTGGGATAGCCTATGGTTCCTCCTCATGGCGGCTACGGATGGCAAGCCGAGCGAAAAATTTCCCCGCTGGAGAATGAATGGGACCGCCAGGACCAACTGAGGTGGTTCTCGCGAGATGACCCGCCCCCACTCCAACAGCCGGAGCTTCTGAAGTGGAGGCACTGGCGGCCCGGGAAGATCAGGGAAATGGAGCCCACGACCCAGAGAGCGCTGGAACTCCATATGCGCGGGAAATGGGCGGAACGGCTCCTTGCCCACTTCGCCCCCTTTGCGGAGCACATTGCATACATGCAGGACATCCTGGGGGAGGACTTCCGCAAGGAGGCATTGGACCTCTTGGGGGACAGCAGGTTCCGGACGCTCAGGCAACATTGCCTGGTCTACGAGAGTCTCCGCAAGAGAGGCTTCACCGTCATTCCTTGGCAGGAACGACATGTCCGCTCTCTCCTCAACCAGCTCGCCGAGGAGGAGGTCACCCCGTGTAAGT